GAGGATAAAGATTTACAGAAATTTGAAAATATATTAAATGCAGAAAAAAAATAAATTCTGACAATTATGAAGGAATTTGTAATTATTGTGATAAATTTTGGGTTTTAGCCAAACCTTTAAAATTAAAATTACATTTAGCAAAAGATTATTTAAAATTTAAAATATCTAGAAGAAATAATATAAATTTTTATAAATAAACTATTAAAAGATAAGATACAATATAATGAAAATCCTAAAAAAAACCAATATGGAAATAAAACAAACATTCAGACAATACTTAATTTTAAAAGGATTAAAATTAGTGATTCAAAAATCCAAGAAATTGATAAGATTTTATTAAAAGCATTTGTATGTTGTAATATAGCATTTAATATTATCAAAAATCCTTTTTTTATTGAATTACTTAAAATTTTATGTACTGGTTATAATCCACTATCAAGAAGAAAATTAGCTACAAAACTATTAGAAAGTAAGATAATTTAAGTAAATTTAAAAGTTAAAAAATAAATTAAATTTAACATTAGCAATTGATAGATAAACATCACCAACTGGATGATCTTTTTGGAATTTTATAATATTAACTCTAATTTGATAAGAATATTTATACAAGATAAAAGATTTATCTGAAGAAAAACATACAGGAACTTATTTAGCAGAAGAAATATTTAAAGTAATGAATATAAATGGAATTAAAAAGTTTGCTGCAATAATTACTGATAATGGACCAAATGTAGTTGTATTACAAAATTTGATTACCAATCAATTTTCAAATATTTTAATGTTAAATACATTGCATATTATTTTAATTTAATATCACATTACTTTTTAAATCATAATTTTGCTTATAAAACAATTAAATATTGTAATATCATTATTAAATTTTTTAAAAAATCATACATTGGTAATGATTTAATTAACAAATTATTATAAAATACCAAGTAATTAGAGAAAGGTTAAAAATGTTTGTTAAAACAAGGTGGATATCAATTGCTAAATACACAAATTCAATATTACATTTAACAAAATGTTTTATTGAAATAAGTAATAAATATATATTTAATTGATTTTTTATTTTTAGTTATTATTTAATCATTTTTTTTTAAAAAATAGATTTATGAAAAGCATTTAAGTGAAATTAGTGATATTGTTAAAAGAATAATTAATATAAGAGTTTTTTTAATAATGTTGAAACTCTAAATAATATTTTAATACCAATTAAAAATACTATTTTGAGTATTAAAAGTAAGAATGCCAATCTTGTTAATTGTTATATTCAGTTATTAAAGATTAGTATTGCTATCAATAATATATTAAATTCAGATTATAGTAATTTTAAAAATCATTGTATTAAAAAATTTAATGTTTAGAAAGTAATTATTATTAAAGTATATTTAATTTATATAAATGTATTTAATTATTAATTTTATATTGTATTATTAGATTTAAAAAATTTAATAGTGATGATACATTTATGTTAATTTTTATGTTACATCTACAGTATAAAGATAAATTTTTATAAATTTTATTATATTACTTTATTTAAAAATATTAAAATAAATTTTTCTTTTATAAATTAGAAAAGGAAATTCCTAATTCAAAAGTTAGTGAATTTTTAATTAAAGCAAGAAATCTTTGGAAAAGTATGGGAAATAAAAAACTTGAATGTCAGAAATTAGTATTACAGTTACGCTCTTATGATTTATAAGAACATTCTTATAATATATCTTATTTACCAGGTAATGATTAAAGATGAGGGACGAAACTCAAAAAAGGCAATTAATAAACAGCCAAAACTATATTAAAACATAGTGAGGGATACGACAAAACCCCGAAATCCGAAATTAGCCAAAACTATATTAAAAACATAGTAAGGGATATGACAAAATTATTTTGAGGGAGTTTCAGCTGGCATCTTTAGTAATGATACATCTTTAAAATAGTATGACACTTGTTTTATGAATTTAAGGCAATTACAAGATTTAGCTATACAATTATTTTCTATTATACCAAATGCAGTAGCTTGTGAAAGGATTTGGTCATTTGTTGAATAGATTTATGAAAAGAGATGAACTTGCTTTAATTTTTAATACAATTTATCATTATATAGTAGAAAAAGATACAGATAAAATAATGCAAATAGTCGAAAATTCATTGATTGAAAGTTATGAAGAAGATGATGTAAATGATGATGAAGTCCAAGTATTATCAAAATTAAATGAACCTGTAGTAACTGATAATTATAATATAATAGAAAAATTAAATATTACAATAGAATTTAATTTAAAATTAATAGTATTGATAGATTATGTTGATATTTCAAGTTATAAAAAAGATCTGATTATTTCTAATCATAAAAATCAAAAAAATTTAATCTGAAAGATCTTGTAAGTGATATTTTATTATAAAATATATATGTGAAAAATTTTGTTTATTTTTGAATGTAAATAAAGTCATTTTGTTATTTTTTTAATATATATAAAGGAGGTTTTTTTTCAGTAATAGGGTAGGTGAAAGGGGTGGTGGTGAAAAAGATATTTTTTTTGAAATTTTGAAATAAAATACAACTTTTATATTCAGATTTTTTATTTATCACATTTAAATATTTATTTGTATATATATAAAATTATACATAATATTATGTAATTATATTTAAAATAATTATGTAAATAATCATAAAAATTTTACTTTAAATATTGCTTAAAATTATGAATTTACCAAATTTTATTTGAGTTTCACTATAATTTTTGTTTAATATTTTTTTTTATTTAAGTTTTTTCTTTTTTTCCTTAACTTCACTTTTTCCTAATCTTGTTTCCCTTCTGATTCCCTTTTAGAACTTGTTTTCATTTGTCATTTCTGTCATCTACAAAAAAAAGAAAGAATAATAGTAAGTTTTTGTTTTTAATTACAACTTTTTAATTTTTTTCTAATCCTTCTGATTTTTTGAATAAAACTTGCCTTTATTTCCATTATTTAAAAAAGAAAAAAAATGTTAAGTTTTTTTATTTAATTTTGTTTTTTTCTTTTCTTTTTCTAATTTCTCCTATTTTCTTTAGAAACTCATCTTCAATCATCATTTCTGTTATCTATATAAGAAAGGAATAATAAATTAGTTTTTTTTTAATTTCTCTTTAATTTTCTTTTGGAAATTCACTTTCAATCATCATTTCCATTAACTACAAAAGAAAAAATATGGTAAGATTTTTTTACTTTAATTTTTTTTTTTAATTTTTTTTTCTTTCCCTCACAATTCCCTTTTAGAAACTCATTTTCAATCTTCAATATTACTGATTTCTATCATATACTAACAGTAAGTTTTTTTAATTATAATATTTTTTTTTGATTTTCTTTTTTTAACTTATCTTTTTTATATTCTTCCCTTCTTTTTCCTTTCCTTCTCTTTCTAGTATTAAATTTTTTACTCTTAAAGATTCTAATCTTATATATTGTATATATATAAATAATTATTATACAAATGATATTTTATTTTACTAATCCTGAACTGATATTTTATTTAATTTTATAGGTAAATCTATATTATTTTAACATTAATTAGTTTATTATCATAATAATAATAATAAATATATATTTATAATAAAAGATTTATTATAATAAAAGTTGCAAATCTTTAATTATTAATATAATGTTGCAATTCTTACAATTATAGTATCTAGTTTTAATTATATTAAAATTGCAACTTTAGTTAAATTTTTTAAAATGTTGTAATTAATAATTATAATTTCAAGTTGCAACTTTTTAATTACAGTATCATCTTTAATATATAATATATAATAATCAGTATTTAAAATCAGCCTGCACAAGCTATACAAGTGCAAACATTTTTTATATAATTAAAAGATTCCTATATATATATGGGTTGAATGTTGCGAAAAGGGACCAAATTGAAATTTTTTTTAAAAATTTATTCTAAGTAAAATAGATGTAACTTTTATTGTTTGATCTGGAACTTTAGTTATTTTTAAAAATGTTTTTTTTTTACAATTTAGTCCCTTTTCACAGCACTCACCCCATATGTTGCCTTAAAAAACTTGCACATTAATTTGGTAATTTGGTATATATCTAAAAAATATTAATTAATATGCACAAAATGCATATGTAAAACTTGATCAAATCTTGTATATTTACAATTTAATTTGTTTTATGATTAATAAAGTAAATTGGTTTCTTTTATAAATTATATATATAATATATGTGCATTTAAATTGATTTCATATATGCATGTATTTTATAATATGTGCGTATTATTATTATACTGGTCATCTGCACATTGTGCAAGAACTTTTTGACTTGAATTTAAACACTGATGATAATTTGATTTGGCAAGTTATAAATGTGTTTAAATTTAAGTTTTTGATACCCGTTTTACTTTATTATCAATTGTAATTAATGCAATATTTAATAGCAAATAAATAAATAAATAAAAATTTATATTCGTATAACCTAAAATGTATATATATATATATATCCCGATAACATTGTTACACCACATGATCGATCACATGCTAACTCATTGTCTCTTGTTTATGTGTAACGACGTTTGTTTGAAAAAAAGTATTTTTTACAAAAAACCTATTACGTCTGGTAAAAATTTTGCTCAATATTTAAAACATGCTCTTTTTAACCATAATTACGCGAAAAGATTTATTTTATTATTAATACTCGTTCTATAATTGTCTATTTTAATACGTGTTTCTATAAATATTCTTTTTGTAAATTAAGATACCAATACTTGAATGGCACAACAAAACGAAATTTTGTTTGCATCTTAGACTAAACCAAAAAGGACAAAAACATTTTGCGCTGCTACTAAATAAAGAAAAGATCCTCAAACAAAATTGGTTCTTAATTTGAATTACTGTTTCAAAAATAATTTGCATATAAACATGTAAATCTTCAAAAGGTTTTAAATTTCTTTTTTTTTCATTGAACTCTTAGATAATTCCTCGTTTGGACGACCTTTAACACAAAATTTTTTAAGTATGCAGAAAAATTATGAAACTTTGGCATATCAAAATCGAATGATACGCAGTTCGTCCAAAGAAAATTTATATCAGGATGAATGCGAAAATACCATCTTTAATTTAAATGATATTAATAATTCAAAATTATGTGAAACATATTATAATGGCAGTAATATTGACGTTAATAATGAACAATTAACTAGTTCGCAAATATACCAAAACAATAATCATCATAGAATAAATCATATTATTAGACGAGATTCTAGTGACATTAAAATGATTTATGATTATTATCAAAAGTATTTGTTGAAAGACAAAGTATATGATCAATTTTCTTCTACTGTTGATAGATATGGATTTGTAGAATTAGAAGACAATAAACCACGAGATACAAAATATGTGAAAAAAGATGCAAAACGTTCAGTAAAATGGGCATGTTGGTTGTCTCGTAATAAATATGTAATTCATTCTGAAAAATTTGGTAGTTCTTTATTTGAATTTCCTTGGAATTCGAAATTTATTAATAGAATTAGTAAAGGAATACCTGATCCTTGGAGAAATCCTGTTTGGTATTTTTTAGTTACCAAGGGATGTTCTATAACTGAGTCTGACGATGATTTAATTTTAACTTATAAAGTAAGAATGTTAAAAGATTTATTTATAAAAAATACGAAAATAAAATAATCTTTTTATTCTTTCCCTTTTTAGTCATTATTAAAATTACCATCATCACATGAAAGACAAATTGACTTGGATATTCCGAGAACATTGCATAAACATATAATGTTTCGTACAAGGTATGGTTCAGGTCAAATAGCTTTATTTAATATATTAAGAGCTTTCGCTAATTATGACAAACAAGTCGGTTATTGCCAAGGAATGGCTAATATCGGTACTATACTATTAATGTATTATCCTGAGGAGGTATTCATGATTAAATATTTTTTTTAAAAAAATTTTATCGCTTTTATCCTTTTTAAAACCAAAATTTAATTTATCATTTTTCCTTTAATTATTTATTAGTATGCGTTTATAATGTTAACAAAATTATTTATAAGATGTAATTTACATAATTTATATATACCTGGTTTTCCTGCTTTAATGGAAAGCTTTTATGTTCAAGAAAAGTTAATGAATATGTATACTCCTAAAATATCAAATCACTTTGTAAGTATTTTTAAGTCTGAGAAAAAAATTTTATTAAAATTAATTGCTTACATATATATATATATTTAGAATAAATTACAAATACCAAGTACAGCATATGCTACAAAATGGTATATTACTTTATTTTCAAGTGAAATTTTACCTCATCATACTGTATTAAGAATATGGGATTTATTAATGTTACATGGTTATGATATATTATATTTTGTTGCAATTATTCTTTTAAAATTACACAAATGTAAGTATTTATTAATTTTAAAAAATTCTATAAAGTTTTCAAATATACTAAGAATAATTTTTTTTTGGTTTAGCAATTATATTAGCTTTTGATTTTGATCAGATTTTAATAATGTTATCATCATTTATAAATATTATTGATGATGATAAGTTAACAAAAAAAATCATAAAATTGTATAATAAAAAAGAAAGAAGAAGATTAATAGATACTATCAAAGCTGAATATAGAAATCAAATTAATTATTAAATACTTAATTTTTTTTTTAAATAACATTTATTATATAATTATTTATTTACAAATTAATAAAAGTTAAAATCATATTAGCAGATTGAAATATTTAGGAAATTTATTATTATATTCATATTATCCTTTTGATTGTATAACAGGTAAATTTGCCTGTGAAATTAAAAAAAAGTGTTAATTTCTTTATAAAATGTTAATATGAGTTTTAGTAATATTATTGCTATATAAAAAAATATAGTTTAATATATTTTTTACCAACTTTATTAACATAAATTTTAAGTTTTTTAAAAGGAAAATAATGTAATTTTAAAATTAAGTTTCAAAATTTTTATTATAATTTTTTTAAAAATTTATGTTTGCATATATATCAATTAAATCAGTTTATCATTAATTAAAGTAATTAAAGTCATAAAATTTCTTAATAAATTATAAAAATTATAAAAATGTAAGTTTTTCTTTTTATAATATTCTATTATGATTAATATAATTAAAAGTAAATTTTAAAAAAATTTATCATAGATTAATCATAAAATTTTTTAATATAATTTTTTTTTAAAATTACAAATTTTTAGTTTCTAAATTTTTTATTATATAATTAAAAGATAAAACTTATTATAATATATTTCATATTTATTTTTTTAAAAATATTAATTATTTATAAATAAATCAGAAGAGAATTTATAATAAATATGCAGGCAAATTTGCCTAAAAAAATCTTATAATTTAAGAAATAATTTTTATTATATAATTTTAATTATAAAAAATTAGTTAATATAATTTATAATAAAATATAGGTTAAATATAACAAATTTTAAACTTATTACTACTATATATAAATTACTATAAGAATTTTTTAAATAAAATTTAGCCTCTTTTATCTATAAAAATTATATTATTTAATACTATTATTACAGCTTTTTAATAATAATTATTTTATAAAATCACAATGCTGTTTTAACTAAATAGATTTCTATGAATAATAAATTAATACTTTTATTCTATTTTTATTAATATAAGTTATAGTTGTTATATAATTACAAGCTAATTAAAAAGGTAATTTTGCTTTAAAACAAAAATAAAGGTTTACAGTATAACCAAAATATAATATAATTATTGTTATTTTCTATTAAAAGCAAAATTAACCTAATTAGTTTCAGTTTATTCCTAACTAAAGATTTAGTCTCATTAATATTACCTATTGCTATAAGATTTATCTCTAAATTAAATGAATATATAAATAAAGATCAAATTCTATCATTTTTCTCAAACTATCAACTTCTTGAAATAATTTTATTTTATCACTACCAAAAAATTTCATTAGTATTCATAATTTATTCTAAACATTATTAAGTAGGTAAAAATTCAAACTTATATATATCTATTAGTGTAATATGTCTAAATAAGTCTAAAAGATTTTTCACAATATCTTCAACTTTTCTTATTTATAATAAAATTTCACATAAGTTGAGTTAGTTCACGAGCCTCATAAGTCAGCTTGCTAAGATTTAACTTGAGCTGCAATAAAATAGCTTGTGAGTCAGTCAAGTTAACCCATATCATAACTTAGTTCATGATATAACTTAATTCACTAGCTTAGATTTTTCAAAAATATTCAAGAGTTTCAGCTAAAGAAAATATATTTAAAGTGTTAAACTTTAAAGAAAAATACTTTTAAAGTATTTTCTTTAAAGAAAGATGCTACCAGTATATTAAAATTCAAAGATAAATAGTACTGACATATTAGTCTTAAATAAAAGTATTACCATATCGTTAATTTTAAAAAAAATACTACTAGAGCATTAAAATTCAAAGAAAAATACTACTGATGTATTTTTCTTTGAAGAAAATGCTACTGATACATTAACTTTAAAAAATACTACTGATGCATTAAAATTTGAAAGAAAAATGCTATTAGAGCTTTAATTTTAAAGAAAAATGCTAACAAAGTATATTTTTTCAAGAAAAATGCTATTAGTACATAATCTTTGAATCTAATATTTTAAAAGTAATTTTTCTTTAAAATTTATACACTGGTAGTAATGTTTTAGGCGAAACTAGTTTCACCTAATTTGATCTACAAAGTATTTCCAAATTAAGATTTCAGATAGTTTCAGATATATTAGGCTAAACTAAAAGTTTACTAGACGAAAAATTTTGGATTCGAGAAAATGATTTCGTCCGAAACACTAACTGATAGTGTTTACTATAAAAACTAATGCTCTGATAGTATTTTTTCTTTAAATTAGTAGCATTTTTTTTGAAATTAATGCACTGATAATGTTTTCTTTAAATTTTAACACAATAGTAATATTTTCTTTGAGATTAATATATAGATGATATGCTATTAAAATTGAGGTACAGATTATATGATTTACTATATCTCGTACCTCAATTTTAATAGTATACCATTTATATTAGAAGTATTTTTTTGAAAAAAATATTTCAAAAGCATTTATTCTTCTAATTTTATATTTCAGAAACATATTTTTTGAAGATAATGCTTCAGTAGCATTTTTTTTGAGATGAATATTCTAAAAGTGTTTTCTCTTTAGAGAAAATGTTTCAAAAACATTTTTCTTCAATATAACATTTTGGAAGTATTTTCACTTTAAAGAAAAATATTATTAGAATATTAAATTCAAAGAAAAATATTACTAATATGTTAAAATTTGAAGAAAAACGCTACTAATACATTTTTTTATGAAGAAAATGCTTCAAAAAAAATGCTACTAGTGTATTAAATTTTGAAGAAAAATGCTAATAGCGTATTCTTTCAATAAAAATACTATCAGTATATAATTTTAAATCTAACACTTTAGAAGTAACTTTTCTTCAAAATTAATACATTAGTGACATTATTCTTCAAAATTAATGCATCAGTAGTGTTAAAATTTGAAGAAAAACTCTAAAAATATTTTTCTAATTTTATATTCTGGAAGCGTATTTCTCAAAGTTAATGCACTAGAAGTATTTTCTTTAAATTTTAATGTTTTGATAGAATTTTTCTTCAAGATTAACACATCAGTGACATTTTCTTCAAATTTTAATGATCTGATAACATTTTCTTTGAATTATAATACACTGATAGCATTTTCTTTATATTTAATGCTCTAATAGTATTTTCTTCAAATTTTAACGTTTTAGTAGTGTTTTTTTAATCTTAATGCTCTGGTAGCATTTTTCTTCAAAAGAAATACTTCAGAAGTATTTATTCTTCTAATTTTACACTCTAGAAATGTATTTTTTAAAGATAACTCACTGTTAGCATTTTTCTTTGAGATGAATATTGTGAAAGCATTTTTTCTTCAAAGAAAAACATTTTAGAGACATTTCTTTTCAAGAGAATCATTTGAAAATTTTTCTTTTAAAGAAAATCATATTAGAGACATTTTCTCTTGAAGAAAAATATTTTAAAAGCTATTATCTTGAAGAAAAACTCTTCTTAAAGCATATCCAATTTTTCTGAAATAATTCTTAGATAATAATGTGAGCTGACTCAGCTTGTCACATTTTTGACTCAAGTTAATTATTAAGTCAGCTCAAACTGGTTTATACGAAGTTTTAGCAATATATAATAAGAATCAACAAAATATAACAAAAATTATAAAGAAAAATCATATAATAAAAGAAAAGATATTAAAAAGAAAGATTACACAAGACAGATAAATTTCAGAAAGAACTAATTCAAATAAATTAGTTATCAAAAGAGAAAGAATAATTAAAGAATTGAACAGAGAATCAAGAAGTTGGATAATTAATAAACTAAATGAAGAATTTTAAGAAAATATTTGAAAAATAATAATTAAAGAAGTAATATAAATATGCAGAAAAGTTATATAGAAGATACAATAGTAAAATAACAAACTGAACTATATAAAAGCTTATATAATATAAAGATAATACATAATATCATAATAGTAAATATTATAAAGAGAAGTTACAAGAAGAAAAAAGAAACAGAATAAGTAATACAAATTACTAAAATAGTTAAATAAAATATTATAATAACATTTCAGTAATAGCAGAAGTAATAAAATAAAATTATAAATAAATAGCAGAAATAATAGGAATTATAGAATCTTAAAAATCACATAGTAAATAATTATATTAATTATAAATTTCTTATATAAACCTTTTGGATATGATTAAGGAAGTAAGTTTGATTTTTCTCAAAAAAATAAAAGTAAAAAAAAATTATTTTTAATAATAAATTTTTAAATACAAATAAAATAAATACTTTTATCTAAAGTAATTGGTTATTAAATAATGAAGTTATAGAAGTAAATAAAGTTATATCACTTATATATAAATGATAATTTAAAAAAATGTTAGAGAAATTATGTTGAAATAAAAATAAATAATTATTTTATCAAAGTAATAAATGATAAATAAATAGAAATAACTTCAGTAAGTGTTATAGAAAGAATATTTTTAACATCAGAAAGATTACAAAAAGAAGTAATAATAAACGAGAAAGAATTATAGATATAATAACTGTAATGTAGAAAAGAATTATAAAAAGAATAATAATAAATAAGAAAGAATATTGTTACACTAAAAATCATTAGGATGATCTTCCTAATGTAGATCCTTAGAAAACTATATTAACTTTGTTAACTTCGTTTACGTCGTTTAGCTCGTTTACATAGTTTATTTAGTTTATTTAGTTAACTTATTTTATTTATTTTATTTAGTTTATTTATTTTATTTATTATATTTATTTTATTTCTTTTACATTGTTAACGATTATATATATTTATTTTATATAAATATGAGCTGAGAATCCTTGGAGATTAGACAGGTTAAACATAGTTAGTTGATTAAGACTTATAGGAATAGTCTGGATTAGTTTAGTTTAATTACTTAGAACATTTGTACAGTACAGAAGCGCCGACGTTTGAGGCAGTACTCATTTGTTAGTATATATTAAATAAACTATCGATATCTATATCTTTACCCAAATCTCAACTACAAATAAAACCTTCTGCTTACCACATATATTATCCGTTCGCTTTTAACATTTAAGTAACATAAAGAACTGACCGTAACAATATTATCAGCAGAATAAAAGTAATATAAGAAATATTATAAGAAAAATCATAAGAATTTATAGAAAAAATTTTATAAAAAGAAAATTATAATGTAAGAAAGAATACAAAAAAAAATAATAACTAACAGAAGAAAATTTAAGAAGAATATAATTTAAGATATAAATGTAGTATAGAATAGTTAATGACTAGTACTTGAATATATTCCAAATACTCATAGCAAATTTAATGTATATATAATGCTAATGGTTTATTAATGCTAACATTACTAAAACTATACGAGATTTGAAAAGCTTAAAATAAAAGAAAGATAATGAGGAGAAATATAATAGAAAAAGAAAGATAATATAATATTAAAAGGAAAGTAATGTAATAACAGAAGAAAAATTAATCAATAATAATATTGTAAAGAAATTATAAGAAGAAATTAAATGCTCAAAGTATAAGAAAAGGATTTTTAGCAATTAAAAATTAATTTGCAAACAAATTCTTTTGATGATGAGTTGCAGAAATGATTAAAAAGATATAAGTTATATTGAAACTTACAAACTTAAAAATATCATATATTTGTATAATAAGGGTTATAACAACTACAACATTTCTCTTTAAAGAATCATTTCAAAAATTTTATCTTAAAAAGAACCATTTTGAACCGTTTTTCTTAAAAAGAAATATTTCAAAAACTGTTATTTTGAAGAAAATCTCTTCTCAACGCATATCCAATCTCTTTGAAATATTTTTTCAGATTTTGTAAGTAAATGAGCCAGCTTGTTTGATTTATAAGTTGGCTTAGCTTGTCACATTTTGACTTAAGTCAAGTTAAGCCTAAGCTAAAATAAATCAGTTTAGCTTAAGTCAATAATTGTCAAGCTAACTCAAGTTAACTTATATAGAATTTTAGTGATGTGATTATATAAAGGAAATTTTTTACTATATTAATTATTATCTTTATATTACAAATTAGTATGATAATGATTATAATATGATTGTGATTATAAAGAAAGTATTTTATATTTAAAAAATTTAGGACTAAAGGTTATTATGATTATAGTAAAGTGTGATTTTATAAGAGGTGATTATAATGGGAATGACTATATATTTAATGAATATAGAATTCATGAAATAATAAATATAATATAATAAATTTTTGGTATTAAACTTTTAATTTATCATAAAAAATGTTTTTATTTCTGATAAAGTTGATAAAAAATTTTTAAGAATTCTAGTAAACCAAGTTTAAGAAGTAATATAATTACTTGAGTTAATATCAATTATCAGATTTAAATAATTTGCTATATAACATATTGATGTATAATTTGATAAAATATTTAAAGTCATAACCAAAAATCTGAATTTTTAATTATAGTAATAATTGCTAAATTTTATCATTAAAAAAGATTTATTTAAAATAATCATAATCTATTAAATTAAATAAATAAAATATCAATAAATTGAATTAAATTTTTTTAATAAATATTTACTAGAGAATGGAATTCGTTTAAAGTTTAAAGCATAGTATATAAATTATAATATCATATTTCACATAATTAATTATTTTGTAACACAAAAAACATAACACGTGATTATGTAAATAAAATGTTATTAGTTTATCAAACTTGCTGAATTTGGACAGACAGAATGATCTTACATTTAAATAATCTAGAAGTAAAATGTCCTCCACTATACTTCAGATAATTATTACATATCTTTAAATAATCTTTTATAATTAGGCGGTTACAATATTATTATATGTTTAATAAATTTTTTAAAGATAAATATGAGAAGAAGGAATAATAATAAAAATAATTTTTAAAATTTTCTAGTCATATAATTTGGTCTTAGTATAAAGAAGAAGGTATATCTAATATTGACTAAAATTATCAAATATTATAAAATTTTATTTTTAGGAACGGGAGATCATTGTAATTTATAAAAAAGAATTAACAATTTTATTGTTTTAATATTTAATAAAGTAATCTGACATACTGTATTTATGTATTTATTATATTTATTATATATACATATTAAATTTCATTCTATTATACTGATCTTATCATAAAATTAATATGTTGATAATAAATTTATTTGATTTCATCCAATTGAAATTAATTGGAATATCTATATTCCCTTATCAAATGATTTTCTAAATCCCAATTTCCTG